TGCAGCTACCCCAAACAGACCATAATTTTTTTTAAGTCAACAACAGGATTCACTTTCAAATCTTTGTATATTTTGTAACAGCTTTCTTTACCAAGAATAATCTTATCAGACTAAACATTGTTTTCTCTTTAATCACTGTTTCAATAATGGATTCATTGTTAATCATTGGATTATAACAGATATCAGTTACAATTTCCTCGCAAAAGAAAGGTGCTTGTCGGCTGGCAACTTCTGTGCCGTTAGGAGGATATACGGTGTTAGAAATGGTTTTCTTATGTTTCTTTTTTCAAGTTTTTAAATGAAATCTAGCGGTAGGTGCTGTTTGGTCATGGGACTATGCTGCTAAATTATTATAATCTTGATATAGGAGCATGTGTTCAGAGATTTCAGATTAAAAAATAAATGGCAAGATTCTGCCTTGGAAACAACTTTCTTGTTTGCGCTCTCTCTTCCACATCAAAAAATCTGATACGACTGCATAAAGAATTCTGATTCTTTCATTGAATGATTGACTAATTATCCGTTTGCATAAATTTGATATTTCTTTATTTATAGTGGCAATGCATTACTATTTTCTTCCACAACTTGTGAACTCCTTCTGGTTGCAGCTAAAACAATTCCATGGAGCCATGTTACTGAAAGTACTATAAAAGCTAAGTCTATGATTTTAGCCATGTGTTGAAATAATGACAACCAATGCTTCCTTCATCACCTCTCCTTTATCTCTGCCCTTCACTTCTGACTTGTCTCTTCTGACATCTCTCTGCTATTTTAATTCCATTTGGCCATGTTCTTGCTCCTGTATGATTTACCCAAGTTCCTTCATTCCTTCAGCCACAGAAATGGGCATTCGATGTGTCCTTCAGGGTTCCTGGCGATGCAACTACCGGAGGCTGATCAGTGCCGGTGAGAATGCAAAGACACAGAGAAGGTGGCTGAGGAGAATTGATGGCAAAGTTTTTGGTCTTCGGTTGAAATCTAGCAAGAGATTAAAGTGGAGATGTTTTTCATCGGTTTTAATGCAGAGGAAGATTGCTGAGATCTGTTCAGATATGAAGAAAAAGGTTAAACTGAATGGTGCTATAGTTCCTACCATATTTTTCCCTTCACAGTGGGGAATTCCTATTCTGTCAAATCCTTCTGAATTTCACAGGAAGCAGTCTATTTATTTTTGATAGAAAGTTCATTTGAAATGCAGACATGTTGTCTTGCTTCTCTCAACTTTTCTGTCATTGCCTTATTGTCTGTCATTTGCTGCATGGGTTTGCTACGTTTAGCAAAATGTTTTGGTCAGAACATTGTGAACTTGATGGTCGAGGTTTTCTTATTTTTTTGTCAATTCCTTTTTTATATAGCTGGGTGGAATTTTGTTTTCTTGAACCACTTCGTATCTCTTGGCTCGTGCGTATTTATGTTTAATAAGCCACTTCAAAAAAATTTGTATAGTAGTACTACTAACTGGAAGATTGTTCTTTTCTTACAGATTTGATTGATAACAAGGTTTTTATTGGCAGCTACAATAATTTTGTATAAATATTTGCATAAATGCTGTGAGCACTATCTATATATATATATATATATATAT